TTTAAATTGAATCAAATATAATATATTGTTTATTAAATAATTTAAATAATTTGATCAAATTAGGTCAGGTCAGGTCGATTCAAATGAAAATTTAAATCAGGTCAGATTTTTGTTTGACCCAAACTGATCCTCTTAGTTCAGGTAATTTGATTGACCTAACCTGAACTGACCTATTCGGAGCTCTACATTTTTGTAATTGTTGACTTGTTAAAATTTTACAAGTATGTATAAAGTATGCAAGGATCTTTTTGTCGGTATCTTTTAAAAAGTCTTATATAATAGGTATTGCAAAAATCAGTATAAAGATTTTTCATTTATCTGTTGTGAAGTTAAAAATTCTTTGTCTGTAGCTATTCTAACAAAGTGGTGTTCAAGATCATTTGAGAACTTTATCTTGTCAGCTCATTATTGCATTATTTTAAGTTTATTCTCATTTAATATGTCTTTACTAATTCAAAGTTTTGTGACTATCTATTTTACTATACTAAGAAAAAAGTAATACATTGGGTTAATAACGGAAAAGTGAACTGAATTGAAATAAAATAGTCAATATATCTCTAACTAATAAATATAATTTTAAAAAATATAATCTCTTCATGATTCTTCTGTTATATAATTTTTTCATTTACTTACTTTTATTCTAATTATATCAATATTCTATTCAATAAACTAATCGTCAAAATCTTCAAATCCTCTAAAATTTAGTAATTTATTCATAAAATTAACTAATTTTTAGTATTAGTAATACATGACGTGAGCAGAGATAAAGTCACATAACTTTCTAGTAGTAGGTAAGTTGCTAGAATAACAAATTACTGCATTACAGACAAACGATCATTATTATATTCATGTGTTTTTATATTATAGCTATCCCATAACTGATTTAGTTAATTTATAATTAAATATAAATAATTGTTGATTTCTTGTAGCTTTAGTTTACTTAGACCAGGTATTACCACTAGTATAAGAATATTATAAGGTTTAAAACGTTTACTATACAGTAAATTACAAATAATTGTATATATTACATTAATAAAATACTGAAACTTTTTGAAAGGCTTAAACTAATCTATATTAATCATCAATTTAATATAAGAATTGGCATATTTTTCTGTAAAAAAAAGTTCTTCTTAGTCATCTATAAATTCTTTTCAGATCTTACCATCATAGATATCAAATAATGCTTCAGTTTCATTCTTTCTTTCTGACCACTTTCTATATGATATTTCAAAATCTTTGCAACTAAAAAAGTGCTAATTGTTGCCTAATATTAACTAATAGAAATATCATTATCAGATGAAAAATTAGATTATAGATATTAGTATCTATTTTTTTTTAACTAAAGCATTATTACACTTTTATCAAAATTTTTTCATACTATGATTTGGGTAATTTACAAAACTATAAGTCAAGATTTCATTTTTGTTTAATATTTTGTTAATGTTATATAGTTTGTGGTATCTATTATAGGTAGTATATTGAATTATTTCTGTAGATATTTCTAATTTTCTTTTTACTGTTTATAAGAAGATAGGGAAAAATGAAAATTTATTTTTATCTATTGTCAAAAAAAAGAGGCTTAAAAAATTAAATAAAAAATCTATTGCAATATTGAAAAGTTTATATTTTTGTTGATATTGAAGTATTTACAAAATAATCTAATTATTAGTATTATTAATATTAAGATTAGAAAGTTTAGGCTTATCTTTACCAAAAATCTAGTAATATAAAGTTAATCACCTTTTCGTTATTATCTTTAGAGTCATTATCTTCATTATCTTTATCATAATCATCAAGATTTTAAAATTTCTATCTTCATTATCGTCAAAATTTTTATTATCTAAAAATAAAATTTTAAGAACTAGTTCAGATATTTCTCTTTTTTTACTTTTAGAAAATTTTCTAATTCAAGTACAGATAACATTTTTATTAAAAATGAATAATTCCTTTCAGATAATGACTCAAGTTTCTAATCATACTCTATTTCATTATTATTTATTTTAACGTTATCAGATAACTTAAGATTATCTATTTTATTATCATCATTTCCAGAATTATTAGATGGTTCAGCTTCTTGATAATCATAAGATATGTATCTTTTTGACATATGCATTTATTTTGTTCTTAGATCTATCAGTGAACCATTAAAATTTTCTACAAAAACAGTGTACTTTAGTTCTAGTATTTGTGTATTTAATATAAAGCATTTTAAAAATTAAAACTTTTTTTTTTAAAAAAAAAGATGATCTTAAAAATTCTGATTCTTAAATATGTTCATATTTATTCTGCAGAAGCAAATAATGCATTATAAAAGCCTTCTATCATTTTCTAATCAAGAAAATAAGAAATTAACTAAATAGGTTAAAGATCATATTACCAATCAATTAGATTTAAGAATATAATTATTTATTTAAAACGCAGATTTCTGATTCCAAATCACTATATTATGGTGACAATCATGGTTGAAAAATATTTTATCAAAATTTTTTAAACCATAAATTTATTAATATTTACTAATTCTCAAAGAGAATATTATTATTCAAATAATATCTAATATTTCCATTAAATAAATCATAGATTTCAATGAATATTTAATGTATATAAATTGATAAATTAGGTAAAAAAAATTTATTAAAAAATAAAATTATTGTTGTACTAAAAATGATTCTGACAACTAACTAATATTCTAAATAAAGTTAAAAATATTAATACAAGTAAAGTTCTTTCTAAAATAATTATAAAATTATACTTCTCTAACATATTTTTATATAAATAATTTATTGTAAACCTTATTCTCAATTTTGATTGATCTAAATGTATTATTAAAAATCAGTCTTTTTTTTTTCTGAAAAGATAAATCTGATTTAAATAAAATTTGCCTTTTTTAATATAGAAGTTTTAATTAAATGAGATATTATCATCTAGTTTATTTTAAATTTAAGCTACCTTGTAAAAATCAGATTTTCCAATTAAAATAAATAAAAATGCAACTGACCGGAAATAAGCAGGGCTTTTATAGAAATCACAGACAAGATACTATATTCAAATAAAATTTTTTTGACAAAAAAAAATATTTACTTAATAAGGAAAATATATGTGTACAAAAATATTTATAAGAAATACAGTTATTATATACACAAACAAATAAATTAATCATTTTTTTATATATAAATAAACTGATGGTTTGATTTCAATTATTACATTTTTTTTCATTTTTATTTTCTTTACTATGCTATTGTATGTGTTATATATAATAATATAGCAGTAATAATAGTATATATAAGTATTCACTTTACTAATATGAGATTTTAATAATAGTTCTATCAGATAACATTTATTTGTTTTACAGTATTTATCAATGTAACATGTGTATCTCACTTTTAATTAAAATAATTTTAACTAAAGTAAGATTAATGATATGATTTTGTAATAAATTTACATATTGATATTAATAATTTTAAAGTTTATTAATATATTTTAATTATGCAATAATCACTTTAAAATGTAAATTATCAAAATAATGATTTAAGTGTAGTAAGTAATAACTATATAAATGATACTGTTTTACCTTTATGTTTAATATTTATTGCTAAAATAAAAAAATACTATCATTTAATACTCAAACAAATCACTCATAGTGATAAATCAGATTTATCATGATCTTATTCTCAAAATTGCTATTATTCTTATTCTACATTAATAAGTGTATTTTAATGCTATTGATCTCGCTTTCATTTTACTTTAATAAGAAATTCTCAGCATTATAAAACTCGCATTTTTCCCTTTTAAGATTTCGATACAATCGCTATAGAACTCATACTCAGTTTTCTTTAAGATCCTGATATAATTGCCATAGAACTTGTACCTGTTTTTCTTTAAAATCTTAGCATAATCGCCATCAATTCCATTCCTCTTCAACAAGAGAAAAATCTATAACAAGAAGTAATATCTTCTTTAATCATTATTTGAAATTATATTTAATCTAATTTAACTTTATATTTTTGTAATATTAATAGGAAATTTATCAAATTTAAGTCACATTTCATGAATATTACAACTAAATATTAACCGCTCTTCCTTCCTAGCACATAGTTCTACTCTAGCTTTAACAAGAAGTAATATTTTTATATTATTAGAATTATAAAAGATTTACACTATATTATATTAATTTATAATAGGTAATCATGAATATTAAGTATAACAACAAGGAGTGTAACAATTATAAATACAACAAGGTGTTTAAGATTTTTTAAGTGCGCTTGCACAATTTTCACAATAATTAGAAATTCAATCTAGTATTCTCTTAACACTCATAATACTCCTAACATTTCTAACTCTTTTAACTGAATTAAATAGAATAAATGAAGAGGTAAATAGAAGAAGTTTGTCATCTATTTTAAGAAGAAAATAAAATAGAAATTGTTTCCTATATCAAAAAAATTTAAGAAGACGTTACATGTAAATTATATATATTTATGAAATATTTTTAACTTTTTTATTTAATCCTGACAACTGACTTTGTTTTTTATTTTTAAATAGAATAAAATGATACAGATTTATAATTATTTGAATACTAATATACAATTTGATTTTTCTAAGACCTTCAGTAATCAAAAAAAAGCTATAAACAAAATGTTTTTATCCACTATTAAATCAGCAATGAACCTTTTACTTAAAGTATATGATATGGAAATACTGAAGGTCATAAAACAATTATATAAGAGCAGATGAGAGATTTGAAAATTAAAGCAAGAAAAAGGACAGATTAAGAAACATAACAGAAAACAGCATGTTGTATTGAGGAAAGATCAGGTATAAAATTTATTATCTAAAATAAAAATGTATATAATTATTAACTTTTTTAATAGAAATTAGGATAACATCAGTGAGATCTGTAGCAAATAATCTTAACTAATGATAGTTGCTGATTGATTATTACCTTTGAGCAATATTTCTTAGAAAGAATTCATAAATAATTGTGAAAAAATTGTCAACACGCTGAAATACATTCAGATGAATAGTCTTCAAATAATAGAATTCTTATGAAAGATGAAAAAGATAATAATAAAGACCTGACTATTTATTAAACACAAATTCTGTGATTAAAGTTTGTAATAAGTGATAGAGGTTGATCAGAGTATGTAAAGTTGTAAAATTATTTTTTTAAAAATATAACCTTTGTTCATATAATTTTTTTATTATTAGATTAAAAGAATTTTAAAATGTACAGACGAAATTAATATAGGTGTTAGAACAGACTTTTCTCATATATATCATCATTTAAATGATTACATTGATAAAAAAAGTAAACCAAATGACGAAATGCTAGATTAATGAATTTCATCAAACTGGATTCTATTTTCAAAATTAAATGAAGATAACAAAGATAACAATAATGATGACAATAATAATGATGATGATAATATTGACCATAATAATAGTAATAACAATAATCATGATGATCGTGACAATAATAATAATAATGTTAATAGATAAATAGGCATTACAGCATAAAGCATGCATGCTTATCGATCAATTGTTATTTTTTTTCAAATAATATAATATACATATAGATATAATATATTAGTAATAATAATAATAATATAATAATAATACTATATAATAAGATTTTTCTATAATCATATAATAATATATAATAAAATAATATAATAATAATATATTCATATATCTTAAAAATTAGATTAAAAATTTACATAATATCATCTTTATATCACCTATAAATTATACATAATATTAAAATCATTATATAATCGTATATACTATTTTGATACCATACAAAAATCAGTTAGTGTTAATATAAGAATAGGTATTTCAATTTTACTGATAAATAAATTTGATATTTGTCAATTCATGCTAAAAAATTACCATAAAATTTTAGTAAATTAAATGAAAATAATCAAAAATCATCTAGTAAATTTGCAAATCAACCATATGATTTTTTGGTGATTTTTTTTCATTTGACCTATATTTTTCATTTAAATTTGATATTTTTTTATTTTGCTTTTTCTGTTAAATTTAAATAAAATATTCTTAGATTATTAATTAGCAATTCTTAAATATTTTAATTATTATAATTAATTTTTTAAAAAACATAAACCTAAATATAAACTTTTATATATCAAAATTTAATAATATTATTAAATACTTATCTATTTCATTCAAAAGTTTTTTCTTTCAAATCTATATATATATTTTATATTATCTAATAATAATCTATTAAAAATTTCATTTTAATATTTTTATTATTTAAATTCTTATTAACATTTATAATATATTTTTATTAATTTAAATATTTACCTATAGGCTATCATTTGTTTTAAAAATTATAATTTATCACATTCTAAAAAAGCTAAATCTAATATATTTTATTATAATTATCTATTCAATTTATCTTATTATAAGTATTTTTTATAAATATATTACCAAAAGATTCTTTTATTATTATATTTAAATTAGAAAATAAGGACTACGTTAACTCTTAATATAGTGAACTTTTGATATAATGAATTTTTAAGCAAATATAATAAAAATACTCTTATTATATTAAATTGATTAATCAAATCTCTTAAAATTTTTACTTTAGTTTTATAATGAAGTTGTAATCTATAACATAAATTTTGTTATAACAAGAGTTAACTGTATTATTAAATTCAAAATAATCTTATCTAAAAAAATTTATGTTAATATTTGCTTTATAAACTTTTATATACAGTGACTTTCAAAAAAAATGTATCACTATACTGCTTATTATAATTGTGTGCTTTATGATTAATAACAAAATCTGATTATTTAAATATTTATTAAATATATAGTATACTATAAAATCTTTATTATACATCAATTTTAATAATATTTAATAAATCAAAAAATTTTTTATCACGTGATTCTTTATTAAATAATGATACATTTAATATAATGTTATCGCAAATTTAACAAATTTATTAAATTTTTTTAAAAAATTAAATTAATTCTAATTAAAAATTTCACCAAATATTCTCACTATCAAGTATAATTACCTTTTACTTTAATTACATTATTTATTCTTTCTGGCATTGATTCTATCAATTTAATATATGTTTCTAATGC